AAGAGAAAAAGATCTCATTGTTAAGTTTACGTTTCTTGTTGACTTTTGTTTACAATATTGATAAAGTTAAACACTTGGTCAACCTTATCATAAGTGTGGGTGTATCATCTCTGCAAGCTTCAAATTTAACTTTCTATCAAGGTGTTCACCTTTTTCATTCTGCTTCATAAACAGCTACAGATATAAGGATTTATCTTTTATCTTGTAATTTTTTTCTAGTTTGCCCTTTGGTTGTAAATCTTCATGGTGTTTCTGGTGCGCAGTTTAATATTCAGGTAGTAAAATTTCTTCTTTTCTCATTTTTTCCCCCAGCTCCTCTCATAGAACGTATTCTCTTCACGAACAGAATTATTTCCAGATCATCTGAGCACTATTTACTATACAATTTGGCAAATACACTGATTGACGGCCCTATGTGTTACTGTAGCAATTCCCAAGTATCTTCATGATGTGCACACAAAAATGAAAATATTTGCACAGAACACTGGAGTAACAGTCAGGGCTGTCCCAAGCCCCCCGCAGAAGGCCGAGGGGATCAATGCTCTGCCTGGCGTTGGCCCAGGCTGGGCACACCAGCGGTGAAGCCATGCTCTCCCAGACACAAAGGTGAAAAGGGATACTGCTGTGTTCTCAAGCTGCTCTATGTCCTCTAGAGACAGGCAGGACACAGCCTGCAAAAGATGGAAACCAGTGAAAGCTAGGTCAGCACTGCACATAAAGGATGCGAAACCACAGAGAAGAGAGCTCGTGAGCAGCCGGGATTACACAAAGACTGTTTCATGAGAAAGGCAATGTTTTTGCCTGTCCACAACAGATGGCAGGATTTTAACTAAGAAGTGCGGCAAGACGAGAGCATCAAAAACCTAAATGCGCAGAGAAACACCAAAAATTAGTGTAGCACAATGTATTTATTGTGAGTAGATACGATTCGAATCAGGCAGCGTCTAAAACAAAGTGTTCGGAAAGGCACTCGGGAAGACGGGACAGTCAAAGCGGGTTACAGAGTTCATCATCACATTAATTTCTCAGGAGAGGCATCAGAACACATGCAGGGTTCCAGGCGGCTGGAGAAAGAGTCACTAAGGCCGGGCCATCCATTCTCCAGGCAGACCCTGGGGGTCCTGCTCCTGGAAAGTGGATGCATGTAGACTATTCTCTAAAAGAGCCCAATACCCAAGGCCAAATGGTCTGCACTAAGCTGCCTGCTGGGCAATGTTTGACCTGACAGTGACTTCAGGAAAACAGCTCCTTCAAGGTTCCAAAGGACACCTAAGGGCAGATGGCCTGGGTGGGTCATCTCAATCCCGTGAGCCCAGAAATCTGTATTCCAGGAGAATCAAAACAATTTTGTCAAGAGGGAGGAAGAGAATTTCTATGCAGTGTGAATAGTTCAACCAAAGCAAAAACCTACTATACAGGTGATCCAACTTAACACAGCTGAGAGAACCACAGATAAACATGTAAATAATATTGGTGTTTGATATTTTGGTAGTGAAATGAAATCATGTCCTCCATTGATTATATAACATTAAACACACTTTCTTCCAAGGAAAGTTTGACTATTTTTAAATATCATTTTAATAATACAGTACATATTATAAAGCACATAGTTAAATAGAAACACCACTAACTTTCTAAACACTAACAAAATACCCATGCTACCAGGAGTGCCCTTTGAAGGGGGGCGGCTGCCAGAGAGACTGGGGTGGGGCGCTCATGAGATCAGCTGGCTGTGGGTTCTTCTCCCCAGGCATCTTCAGTTCATGTCAGAAATGTTTCTCCAGCAGCTCAAAATCATTATTCCTGGTTTTAGGTAATAGGTCACCTTCATTTTAATTAAAAGATGAAAAACATCCAAGTCAATTCTACTTAGAATAATTAGTCTAGGAGATCTCGGGTCATAGGAGGCCCAGGAGGCCCAGAAGGGTTCCTTGAAACCTTCAAAGGCCTTGCAGAGGAGGCAGCTGGGGTTTTGATCCAGTCTGAGCCTCTTCTCTCATGAAAACAAAAAAATCAAACCAGTTGCTGTGGAGGTGACTCAGACTCATGGCGACCCCCTGTGTTGTCAGGGTGAACTGTGCTCCGTGGGGTTTTCAGTGGCTGTGACCTTTCGTAAGCAGATCACCAGGCCTTTCTTCTGAGGTGCATCTGGGTGGGTTCCAACTGCCAACCTGTTCTTCTTGTGAGAGCTGAAGGTTTACGTAGTACAGTCACAGCCCCTGTGCCCACCGCCAGCACGGCCCTGTCCCTTTAAGGGCTCTCTCACCCACTTGGCAGCTGAAATCAGAAGAATACCAACCGTGCTTCCAGTATTAATTAGTAACATACCAGCTTTCCTCCAAATGTTTGTAAATTCATGTGCAGCGAACATGTTTTCCAAAAATAACAGAACTGGAGCTCTTGCTAGCTTTCTGAATAATATAAAAAGTCCAAGTAAAAAAGATGTTGAGGTATCAGGAAAGGTTAAAAATGAGAAGTTAATCATTTATAACAACACTGCAGGCTCCATTTCCTTCTGTTCAAACGATACTTTCATCTTTTGAAAATGCCCTGTTTGGGAGTCGTAGAACTATAACGAAACAGCCGGAAGATATCCAGTGGGCTCTTCTCTCAGTGGGATACCTTCCTTTAACATTGCATGCCGGTGGGAGCACCTCTTCTCGTTTTTATAATATTAAACGGCATACAAGCAAAAAGCAACAGATCTCCTGAGACAATTAAATGAGCTTTGGAACACAAAGTACCAGGAACCTACGAGTCCAATGTCTAATCAGTTATTAAAGCACGTCCTCCAAACGAAAGCAGCCAGTTAGTGTCTAATGACCAGTGCTCCCAACGCTGAACAGACAGGAGCCTGGCTAGATACCATCTCCGTCTGAAGTCAGCCATTGGATTTGTGAGCGCTCAATTCACTGCCTGAAAAGGCCGCAATCACAACAGCACAATCATTTCCCATTAGGTTTTGATTACAGTCCATGCTAGGAAACACTGGCAATAATCAAAAAGGCAATTTCCTTTCAAGCATCAGCTTCCTGTGGTCATTTTCGTCTCTCCTAAAATACAATTTCAGCTCAAGTTAATTATTGCTGAAAACCCCGGTGTGCGTATTTCCTCAAAATGTAAATGGCGTTGGTGCATCATTTTTCAGTGCTGGGCCCAAGCCCCTCTTCTTCCCTCACCCAGCCCCCCAGGTCCCTAGGTATCCCTTACAGTCTTAGGTCATAAAAGCACAGGCATTCAGATGTAAAAGCCGCAACAAAGACAGAGTGAAAGCTTTTTTCAAAAAGCTTGAAACCTCACCTCACTAAACTGTGCTGTGTACCTTCGTAGGTTCTGTAGACTCTTGGGGACAAGGGCCTACATCTGGATTCCTAAAGGCCAGCACAGTGCCCACACAGCCCTCAATGCTCAGGAAAGCATCCCGTCCACCATCCCAGGAACCCACGAGTCCCACTCACACTGGGCTGTCTTCCCTAGAGCCCTGCCTCGGGGGACTTGGCTCCCTACCCTCTACTCACATCTTCACATCCCACTCTAACATAGCTGTTTACCCTCCTAGCCAGGAGCCCCTAGGTGGTGCAACAATTTACATGCTCTGCAGCTAACCAAAAGGTTGGCAGTTTGAAAAATCAGCCAGTGAAAACCCTATAGAGCACAGTTCTACTCTGACACACAGAATCCATTCCACAGCAACCAGCAACAACCCCCAAACCCCGCCCTAGAAATGGGGAGCACTTTGGAGGTAAGACCCAGGCCTCCCTAAAGCGCCTAGCACGTCACAGCCGCTGACAGTCCGTGGAGGGAACACACAGTGACGGTGGCTGGGCCTCCACTCCGGGACGTAGACGGTCACCACGTGCTCTGTGGGGGCATGGAGGGGTGGGGTGTCTGTGTGTCTGTGTGTGTGTGTGTATGTGTCTGTGTATATGTGTGTATGTGTGTGTCTGTCTGTGTATGTGTGTATATGTGTGTGTATATATGTATATGTATGTTTATGTTTGTGTATGTGTGTATGTACGTTTATGTTTATGCGTGTCTGTGTGTGTCTGTGTGTACATATGTATGTGTGTGAATATGTGTGTATGTGTGTGAAGATATATGTGCATGTTATATGTGTATGTATGTGTACACGTGTATCTGTGTGCATATGTGTGTGTATATGTATGTGTATGTGTGTGTCTGTGTATGTGTGTATATGCGTGTGTGTCTGTGTGTGTATATATGTGTGTATGTGTACATGTGTGTATATATGTATACGTATGTTTATGTTTGTGTATGTGTGTATATATGTGTGTATATGTACGTTTATGTTTGTGCGTGTATGTGTGTGTATGTGTGTATGTGTCTGTGTGTGTATATGTGTGTTTGTGTGTGTATGTGTATGTGTTCATGTGTGTAGATATGTGTGTGTGTGTATTTGTGTATGTGTGTGTAGATATATGTATGTGTGTGTGTGTGTAGATATATGTATGTGTGTGGGTGTGTGTGGGTGTAGATATATGTATGTGTGTGTGTGTAGATATATGTGTGTGTATGGGTGTGTGTGTGTAGATATGTGTGTGTACGTGTGTATGTGTATGTGTGTGTCTCTGTGTGTCTGTGTGTGTGTGTCTGTGTGTGCATATGTATGTGTGTATGTGTATGTGTGTGTGAATGTGTGAAGATATACTTGCATGTTATGTGTGTATGTATGTGTATACGTGTATCTGTGTGCATATGTATGTGTGTATATATGTATGTGTATGTGTGTATATGTGTGTCTGTGTGTGTGTAAACCAAAGAAACCATACCCACTGCCGTCGAGTCAATTCCAACTCATAGCGACCCTACAGGACAGAGTAGAACTGCCCCATAGAGTTTCCAAGGAGCGTCTGGTGGATTCGAACTGC